GTCCCCATACCTAGAACATTCCTTATCACCTCAGCACTGTGAAAGCATGGCTTGGACTGTAGTTAGCATTCTCACAAGCCAATTGTGGAACAAAAGGGACTCCTTCCTGAGGGTCTCTAAAAATTCTACCTGCCCTTTTAGCAGCCTATATAGAAATTCCTGAAATGGTTCATCAGGGCCTTGTTTGATCCCAGATAAAACTTACACTGAGATCTCCTTTTCAATCTTGAGGGGCTAAATTTGCCTCTACCACTGTATCTAATAAAGCTATAAAGGTGGCAGCAGGGCTGTACTGTGCTACAACTGTTTTATTACTCTTGCAATTATCTCCACCTGCTCTATCATCTTCCCAACCATAAACATGGGTAAGTCAGAAAATCTCGAGCTCACGATTGAACTGCCAACTGCAGTCAATGGAACATTGGCAGTTTAACTATATTTTTAAGTTTCTTTTTGTAATATTAGAGTGTAACCATAATTTTGAGAAACAAAATCAGTTTTTAACAATGCAAACAATCCATTTTCTCTAAAATCAACACAAAGTGCATTACTTTCATGTTATAAAGTTTGGCTGTCAGTTCTTACATATGAATGCATGATAGTGCAGCTTTTAATATCTTGTTAAAGAGACATTGTTTTAAATCTTGTATACATCTGGTTTCTGAATGACTCCAACCCTGAGTTACCAGTTTTAAGCCAACTTTCTGTTACCAAAGTTGCAAATTTTTAACCATACCCAATAACTTATAGGCCAATAATCTATAACCAAGACATGCAGAACATATTTATACTTTTAAAACCAGTCAGAAACAAAATTGAAGTGGCTACACACATTTACTTACTTAAACTGGACAAAGTTCATACTTTTTCTAGCTATAATTTCAAGAGAAGCACCTCGTCACCTGCTGAACCCAATAATCATAGTCACAGATTTTTCTAGGAGAAATGAACCATCAGCTCCTTACCATAGAAGCCAAAAAAAACCCTGCTGGCCCCTTTAAGAGCGGCTTTTACATCAATGAGACTGTGGCAGGTCTTCTCCAGCTATGCTAGACTCCTAACCACAGGTGCAGGGCTCCGAAGGCCAATTGAAACTGCTTTTTATTTTTACTTTTTCTTTTTCTTGAAACTAGTTAAAAACTGAATCAAGGCCTGAACAACCAGCAGATAAAGTTTTAACCATTTGTCTTTTAAACATGAAACATGGAACAACATTCAAGCAACGAAACAAAACACAGACATAAACTGACAGACATGGACAGATTGGTGCACCAAGGACAGACACTAGGCAAAGAGCAGAACTAAGGATCTCTCCTGTAGGAGCCAGAGAAAATGCAGGGGAGTCTCTTGATTTCCTCCTGCTCCCAGAAGAGCTCTAAAAATAGCCTTTCCTTTTTTTTTTTTTTTTAACACGGCTGGAGAGCAGACAGCTGCTTTAGCCCTTTCTCTCCCTCATCTTCAAGGTTTAACTTTTCATCTCCTTCTTAGGAGATGTAGCGATTTTTCATCAATAGTCTCCTCTTGGGGAAACATCACCAGTGAAATTTTTTTTAAGATCCTTTTTCTTAACCCTTAATCCTCATGTCTTGAGGAACTCCTTGAGACCCTTTAAGAGCAAATCATGTTTGCTTAATGCTTGTCCCAATTATTGCGTTGCTCTGTCTTACCTTAACTGGATCAATCTCACAGGTGGGCGACTCTGTGGTGATCACAATGCAGGATCTTCTCTCTTTACCTGCCTTTACGGTGAAGGCTTTATGGTGAAGTGTCCATCCTATGCCTGAGGGACGTCCCTGTGGGAGCAACATTCGATCGGACCCTGACCCAAAGGCCACACTTTGGGCACCAACTGCCCCAGCCTGCAGGGATTTGATGAGACCCTAGGGAAGAGGACAAAAGAATGAAGGGACAAGAGGCACAAAGAATTTGAGCAAGTCTGAGATTCTGATCAAGCTCTGAAACTTTAATTTTGGGGGCAGGTTATAAAGACACAGCAAACCGGGAAGTTTGGGTGAGGGTCACTGCTTATGGCTATCCTGCTATTGAATCCTTATTGCCCTAGACCATCCCACTGTCATATGCTTATTGCCCTAGACCATCCCACTGTCATATCCTTATTGTCCTAGACCATCCCATTGTCGTAACCAGCTCCCAGGAAATGCCAGATGTTCTTTAAGTTCCTGGGACCTGAGACCTGCGAATGTCCTTTCTTAACCATGTAACTGATGAGGCTTTCCAGAACAGCAGGTAGTTTCCTAGGTTTGGCTCCTGGCACTCCAACTTCTTTATGGAGGCACTCAGAGCTGTGAGTTTTCCTCATAACACTACTTTCATTGTGTCCCATTAGTTTGGATATATTGTGCCTTCATTTTCATTGAATTCTAAGAAGTCTTTAATTTCTTCTCTGACCAAGTTATCATTGTGTAGATAGTTGTTCAGCTTCCACGTGTATGTGAGCTTTCTGTTGTTTTTGTTGCTATTGAATACCAGTCTTAGTCCGTGGTGGTCCAATAGAATACATAAGATTAATTCAATGTTTTTGTATCTGTTGAGGTTTGTTTTGTGTCTGAGTATATGATCAATTTTTGAGAAGGTACCATGACGTCCTGAGAGAGCATATATTCCTTTGTTTTTGGGTGAAATGTTCTATACATATCTGTTAAATCCATTTGGTTCATAACTTCTTTTAGTATGACCATGTCTCTGCTTAGTTTCTGTTTCCATCATCTGTCCATTGGTGAGAGTGGAGTGTTAAAGTCTCCTACTATTATTGTGTGGGGTTCAATGTGTGCTTTGAGCTTTAGTGACATTTCTTTGACACATGTGGGTGCCCTTGCATTTGGGGAATAGATGTTCAGAATTCAGAGTTCATCCTGGTGGATTTTTCTTTGATAAGTATGTGGTGACCTTCTCCATCTTTTTGATAACTTTCGGTTGAAAGTCTATTTTGTTGGATATTAGAATGGCTGCTCCAGTTTGTTTCTTAGGACCATATGCTTGGAAAGTTTTTTTCCTATCCTTTTTCTTTGAGGTGATGTCTGCCTTTGACTCTGACGTATGTTTCCTGTATGCAGCAAAATGCTAGATTCTGTTTACATATCCAGTCTATTAGCCTATGTCTTTTTACTAGGGAATTGAGTCCATTGTTGTTGAGAGATATTAAGGACCAGTGATTATTGTTTCCTGTTATTTTTGTTGTTAGATGTGGAATTGTGTTTGTGTGTTTCTCGTCTTTTGGGTTTATTGTGAAAATATTAATTTCTTGCTCTTTCTTGGGTGTAATTTCCCTCCTTATGTTGGACTTTTCCTTCTATTATCCTCTGTAAGGCTGGATTAATGGAAAGATATTGTTTAAAATTGGTTTTGTCTTGGAATATTTTGTTTTCTCCATCTATGGTAATTGTGAATTTTGCTGGAAATGGTAGCCTGTGCTGGCACATTTTTTTTTTTTTTTTTTTTTTAGGGTCTGTATGACATCTGCTCAGGATCTTTTGTTTTTTATAGTCTCTGTTGAGTCTTGTGTAATTCTGATATGTCTACCTTTATATGTTACTTGACCTTTTCCCCTTACTGCTTTCAGTGGTCTTGTTCTGTGCATTTGGTGTTTTAGGTATTATGTGACAAGAGGAATTTCTTTTCTGGTCCCATCTATTTGGTGTTCTTTAGGCTTCTTGTATGTTTATGGGCATTTCTTTCCTTAGGTTATGAAAGTTTTGTTCTATAATTTTGTTGAAGATGTTTGCTGGTCCTTTGCATTGGGAATCTTCACTTTCCTCTATACCTATTATTCTCAGGTTCAGTCTTTTTATTATGTCCTGGATTTCTTGAATGTTTTGAGATAGGAGCTTTTTGCTTTTGTGTTTTCATTGACTGTTGTGTTGATGTCTTCTACTCTATCTTCTGCTGCTGAGATTCTTTCTTCTATCCCTTGTATTCTGTTAGTGATGCTTTCGTTTGTAACTCCTGGTCTCTTTCCTAGGTTTTCCATCTCCAGAGTTGTCTCCATTTGTGATTCCTTTATTGTTTCTATTTCCACATTTAGGTCTTGGATTGTTTGTTCAATTCCTTCACTTGTTTATGTTTTCCTGTAATTCTTTAAGGGATTTATGTGTTTCCTCTTCAAGGGCTTCTACTTGTTTACTTGTGTTCTCCTGTTTTTCTTTAAGGGTGCTATTTTTGTCCTTCTTAAAGTCTTCATGAAATGAGAGTTTCGATCTCAATCTGTCTTTAAAGATGTGTTGGAGTCCAGGACTCGCTGTGGTGGGAGAACTGGGCTCTGATGATGCCTTGCTTTCCTTTGGTTATGTTCTTGTGCTTGCCTCTCGCCATCTGATTATTTCTGGTGTTATCTGGCCTCCCTGTCTCTGACTGACCTGTCCTTCCTGTGATCCTGTGACCCTATGATCCTAGATATGTCAGAATACCTGATGAGTCGAGCTGCAACTGGGATTTGGGCTGTATGGGATGGGGTCCAGTGCTGAGTCTCTGCTCCTGGCACAAGAGGGAACCATAAGGTGCATGGGTCTCCGGCTAGGTGGGGAATATGCATCCTTGGGTCACAGGGGTCCTGGTACACCAGGTATTGGGGTGGGGTTTAGGGTCTCCCCTGTGAACCTGGAGAATTGAGCTGCAACTTGGGTGTCAGCTGTGTGGGATCGGGTCCAGTACCGGGTCTCTGCTCCTTACACCCTTCATCTTCTTTTGAAGTTAGTAATTTTGATCCAGTTTTGCTAAAGTATACTTAGTTGATCAGTTTTAGTATCCCTCTGTTTTTTGTTAGTAGTCTTTTCTCCTGCAATGCCATATGGAATTCAGTAGGCCTGAAAATGAGAGGTGTGATCCTCCTTTTCTGTTGACTTGTGATGACTTGCTGAGTGCATTTGAATGTCTGTGATATGGAATAATATGTGGAACACCCAGAATTATAAACTCAGTGAAATGTACATTTGCAACACAGTCAGTCTCACCATTTCTATTATGTCCTTATTGGGCTATTTTAGGCTGCAGTGAGCTATGAGGATGTGCATGTGAACTTCACTCATGAAGAGTGGGCTTTGCTGGGACCTTCTCAGAAGAGTCTCTACAGAGATGTGATGCTGGAAACCTACTGGAACCTCACTGCTATCGGTAAGAATATTTTTTTTCAATTTCTAAACAAGAGGACAAGTGTTCGTTGGTTATTGGTGTACTTTTGTGATTTCTATTGTGACAGAGGAATAATGTGGTGAATAATCAGACAAGATTCTCAACTTCATCAAAGATTCTGACTTAAAATTTGCATACTATCCAATAATATATCATAAATTTTCTGATACTATATCTTAGGTTACAAATTGGAAGATCACAATGTTGAAGAATACTGTCAAAGTTATAGAAGACATAGAAGGTAAATTTCATGTTCAAGCTGATATAATTGCATCACTGAAGAAAATTTAATTTACCTTTAAGTTTTAAAGAAAAGCAACAGTGTAAATATGTACAGCATTATGTGTATTGATGACTAATAAATTCTCATAAGACCATGTACTTGAATTTCAGGTAGCTGGCCCGTGTTTATAAGGCATTCTTCTTAGAAACGAGACAAGGAAACAGAATCTTAACACATGACACTATTTTAGACCTAACCCTGAAAGAACCACATTGTAGAAATGTCAGTCTATTTAGTTTCATCTCATTCACGTATCATAAAACACATTCACATTGGTTAGTGTATGTCTAAGACTTTATAACCAAATAGTCCAGAGTAAAGCTAGTGTTACTCATATACTTTTAGTGAGTTTCCACAGTTTAGTGAGAAGAATAGTTTATGGGCGGCAAGAAGGTTGATGTGGTGGAGAAACCTTAATCCTTATAGCACATATCTGTGGGAAACAAGAACTTGAGTGAATGTAGTGTGAAAACCTTTTGTTTGTTATTTCTCCTTTAATAGGTATAACACCTGTCATTGTGGATACAAGCCTTGTGAACATAGGGAATTTGAAAAGAACCACTATATCTTTGCATGTAACGATTTTCTTCAAATATATGATAAAATCCAAACTGAAGAGAAACCCTATGAATGTAGTCAATGCAGTAAAGCCTTTGCAAATTTTCGTAGTCTTCGAAAACATGAAAAGAACCACACTAGAGAAAAACCCTATGAGTGTAGTCAATGCAGTAAAGCCTTTGTAAGTCGCAGTTCTCTTCAAATACATGAAAGAACTCATACGGGAGAGAAGCCCTTTGACTGTAATGAATGTGGTAAAGCATTTTCAACTCGCAGTCATCTTCAAATACACCAAAGAACTCATACTGGAGAAAAACCCTATGATTGCAGTGAATGTGGTAAAGCATTTGCACGTAGCAGCAATCTTCAAATACACAAAAGAAGTCATACAGGAGAGAAACCCTATGATTGCAGTGAATGTGGGAAAGCATTTGCTAGCCGCAGTCATCTTCAAATACACAAAAGAACTCATACAGGAGAGAAACCTTATGATTGTGATGAATGTGGGAAAGCCTTTTCAACTCGCAGTCATCTTCAAATTCATAAAAGAAAGCACACTGGAGAAAAACCTTATGAATGTAATCAATGCGGTAAAGCCTTTATAGGTCGCAGTCATCTTCAAATACATAAAAGAGTGCACACTGGAGAGAAACCTTATGAGTGTAATCAGTGTGGTAAAGCTTTTGCATATAACAGTGATCTTCACCGACATGAAATAATTCACACTGGAGAGAAACCCTACGGATGTAATCAGTGTGGTAAAGCCTTTGCAAGTCGTAGTAGTCTTCGAAATCACGAGGAACGTCATACTCTTGAGAAACCGTATGAATGTACTCTATGTGGTAAAGCCTTTGCATATTGCAGTAATCTTTATATACATGAAAGATGTCATACGGGAGAGAAACCATATGTATGTACTCAGTGTGGTAAAGCCTTTGCACGTCGCAGTCACCTTCATATACATGAAAGAATTCATGCTGGAGAGAAACCTTATGAGTGTAATCAGTGTGGAAAAGCCTTTCTACTTCGCAGTAGTCTTCAAATACATGAAAGAACTCACACTGGAGAGAAACCTTATGTATGTAATCACTGTGGTAAAGCCTTTGCACGTCAGAGTCTTCTTCAAATACATGAAAGAAGTCACACGGGAGAGAAACCTTATGAGTGTAATCAGTGCAGTAAGGCGTTTGTTTGTCGCAGTAGTCTTCAAATGCATGAAAGAACTCACACGGGAGAGAAACCTTATGTGTGTAATCAGTGTGGTAAAGCCTTTGCACGCCGCAGTCTTCTCCAGAAACATGAAAGAAGTCATAGTGGAGAGAAACCTTATGAGTGTAATCAATGTGGTAAAGCCTTTGCAAGTCGAGGTAGTCTTCGAAATCATGGAAAACATCATACTATTGAGAAACCTAATGAATGTAATCAGTGTGCTAAAGTGTTTACATCTCTCCCACCATCTTCAAATATATGAAACAAACCACACTGGAAAGAACCTCTGAGTGTAATCAATGTGGAAAATCCTTTACAAGTCACAGTTATCTTCAAATACACAAAAGAAGTCACATTGGAGAGAAACTGTGTGAATGTACTCAGTATGGTTAAGACTGCATATTGGAGAACTTTTCATAATCACAGAACATGTCATACTAGAGAAATCCTACGAATGTAATTGATACAGTAAAGTTTTGGCATATCAGTGTAATCTTCAAATGCATCAAAGAATTTATACTGGAGAGAAACCTTAAGACATAGTCAATGGGATAATTCCTCTCCATCTTATAGTCTTCTTCAAAGGCATGAAAGAATTCCCACAGGAGAGAAACACATGAATCTAATACATGTGCATTGCGGGCTTGCACAACAGCGTATCTTCTCTACCGAGTCATCTCACTGGTGCTTATGTAAGATTAGTAGAACCATGTCATCCTTAAAATACTGTCTTCTTTTTAGATTGTATACAAATTGTCACCCAAGTATAGAAGAACACAGAAAAACTTGAATAAGAAAGCATACTTTCAAATTAAAATGATAAATACTGCCATCCATTTTTATGGGTTATCTTATTTTATTGTGAGGAACAAATACTTGTTCTTAACATTTTATCAGAAACACAAATTCGCCCAGAGAATTTCCTCAGTGAGTGAAGGTAGCTGCAGTTAAGCCTGATGACCTGAGAGACCTACGATACTCATGCGAGTTTGTTCTCCTCTCTGTTTCCTATGATTGCTACTGTTTCTAGTGTGTCCCATTGTAGGTCAAGCTAGTGGCCTCCAATATCAGAAGACCTGGTGACTCTGTTGTGGGAGACAGTGTGAACAAGCTGCTACAAAGGCCTCAGATATCAAAGTATCTGGTGCATTAATTGTGAGAAATATTGTACTTTGTTCAGAAAATATTTTTTCAGGGTCAAAGCACCTCTAAGGGTAATGGTTTTTGTAAATATAAACCAGAAAAACAGCCCAGGCTTCCAGATGTGTGCAGGCAACGTGGCAAGGGTTGACGATAGACCACTGAGTATAGGTCCAGCAGAGATATCCAAGACAATTTTCTTCCCATTGAGAAATGGCTTTGAATACCTAGTCCTAGGTCTTGCAGCCAAAAAAGTACGAGGTGTGTGTCTCTTATAAGCCATGAAATAATAACCACGCAGAAAACTCTCAGTTAATATTGCAGATCTAATGCATGTTCCTGCAAAGAGTGCTCTAGACGTGGCCATTTATAAACGTCTTACCCTATCCCCCAAATTCAACGTTACAAAGTATCTACAGGGTTTATGGTCCCTTACCTGCTAGGACAGTAGGATTGACTTAGAAAAGGAGTGGATTGACTTTCCAGAGATTCGTTGTGCATCCAGGAATTATAGATGAAGACTTCAAAGAGGAAGTTAAAGTTATGGCCTATGTAAAAAATGAGATGCTTTTAAATGCAGGTGATAGGATTGCTCAGCTGCTACTGTTTCCCCGTATCAAAGCCAAAACTACTCCAGTAGAAAAAACAGGAGGGGGTGGAAGTACTGGAAAACGTGTGTTCTGGCGAGCAGTTGTTTATGATGAGAGGTCACAATTAAAATAGCAGGTAGATGGTATTGAAGTAGAAGGTTTGGTGGGTACAAACCTGGGTTTGCAGCAGGTGTAATGATTATTTCACAAAGGTCTTGGAATTCAGAATGACCACTTCAAAAAGTTTATTCACAGTTTCTGGGAATTGGAAAGTTATTAAAAATGAAATGTGAGATGGGTTAAATGTGTGGGATCAGAAGGTCAAATAGCAAAGTTAAGACCTTGTGTGGCTGACATACCCATACTTTTATAGAGAATGGATCTTTTACGAAAGTGGGGTACTCAGTATAATATTCCTATGTTTCCAGAGACCACCCATGACAAACTTAGGGGTGAAATGGTAGATGCTCCTGGGGAAGGTATATATATCATGAAAAACAACCCCAGGCTGTGTCAGTTGTCCAAACACATGTCACCAAATTTGTAAGCGAGGCCACTGCTGAGATTGTGTCAGTGGCCTTACCCTTATAGTGGTTGGCTGGCAAGGCTATAGGAGTAGAGTGGTGACCCTTAACTGAAGAAAAAGTTACATGCACTAGAGTAGCTGGTACAAGAGCAGCTGGAGGTGCAGCAACCTCTCAACAGCCCACGGAGTCCCCTGGGTTTGTTATAAAAAAGAAATCAGGAAAACGGAGGATGTCAACTGTCGCTACCCACTCCGACCCAAAGAATGAAGCAGCGACACGACACACGGAGCTCTTCTCGAAGCCGCTTATTCAGGAACCCTGTCTTCTTCTCCAACGGCCCCCGAGTCTCTCTCCATGGTCCTTAAATCTCCTGCCTGCACCACTCAGATTGTGCCACGAATGCGTTCTCAATTGGCTCGGTGTAGCGCTCCTTAGATGGTCAGATCTTATGTAGCAGCGAGTCTGCGCAGTGCTGCGGACGGGGCTTTCCAAGGGTGTATGAGGAAGTCAGGTGCCATTTTGGACTGGCCTCCGCACCCGCTCCTCACAGTCAACAGATTTAAGAGCTTTACCTTCTTTATTGCTTAAGCCATGGTCTATGGTACTAACTGATTTAAGAAAGAGTGCTTTCTTACAATCCCCTTGCAAGAGCAAGATGGGGAAAGGTTTTGCTTTCACAGGGCTACTTACAATAATAGTGGTCCAGTAAAAAGGTGTCAGTGGAAAGTTCTTCCATGAGGAATAGTCCAACTTCATGTCAATATTTTGTGCTACAGTTGTTAGAAGTAATTTGTAAGCAACTTCCTCAATTCATCAGTTATCATTAAATGGATTTTTTTTTTTTTGGCTAATTCTGATGCATATACTTTAGAGAAAATGCTTAAGGAAGCACAAAGAATTCTGCTGTGCCTGGGTTTACAGCTTGCTCCTGAAAATTACAGAGAGCAGACTCTGTTAACTATTTGGGTTATGAAATAAGTCAACAGAAAATTCAACCACAAAAGTTACAGATCAGAAAGATCAGTTCCAAACTCTTAATGATTTTCAAAAATTATTGGTTGATGTTATTTGGCTATGACCTACCATTGGGTTAACTACTCAAGAGTTAATCCAGTTTGTTTCAAATTAAGTAACTTAAGAAATGTGTTAAGTAATTTGTTTTATATATTACAATATAATTGATTTAATTATATTAATTATACAATTATTTTGATATATTGGTATATTTGCCTGTTAAATATACAATTAATTAATTATATAATTAATATAATAAATTGGACTTAAAACAGGCCAAGAAGATTCACAGCAAAAGCAGAGTTAACTCTGGTAGAATGGAGACTGCAAAATGAGTATGTAGATCACAAACTTGATTGTTTTTTGGTTCTTTTGTCTTCAACTCATTCTCCTACCGGGCTTCTCATGCAAAGTCCGTAATGCAGGACTTTAGATGAATAAGTGTGGAACATAGTCTGAAAGAGTATTGAAAAGGAAGATGAACATTCAATTTCTGGTTAGATGAACATTCAATTTCTGGTTAGTTGACCATTAGTTTGGACTGGTTTCAAAATACTTAAGAAAAATAAGAAGAATATTAAAATTGAATTCTTGACTGAATCAAAGCTGGGTAATCAAACCTTAAATCTGGTTAAAGAGGCAAAAAAAAAGTAAAATAAAATGAATATTTTTCCTGTTCAAGCAAAATTGAAAGTGAAAACTGTACCACCAGCTACTTTCCTGTCAGTCCTCTCATCTCCTCTACTGTAGCTTCTTTAGATATCCATGTGCCATTGCCTGAGATCACCCTGAGTATGGCGAAAGGACTAGACCATCAATCTAACCTTAAATTCCCACCATCTCTTGATGAAGATACAAGAGAGCCTGTGTGTAAGCTAACTTTACAACGTAGGGAAGCCAGGTCACACCGAGAGTAGGAATTTGTTTATTAATTCTTTCCCTGCCTCATGTACATTATATTTCAAGTAAATTTCAACAAAATCAAAATGTTTAACTCCTAATTATGCATGAACCAATCTATTTAAAACTCTGAATAGAATTATCTCAAGAAGCAAGGGAGAAGCTAAAGCTATTGAATTCAGACCAAAAGAGACATTTCTGTATCATGTGGAGACTAAATTGCCTTTAACCTTACTTGTTTTACCACTAAAATGTCTCCTACAGGTTATAACACAGACAATAAGCCCTTGTAGTGGATTTATTTATACCATAAGAGTCAGAAAATATTAACTGCTGTTCTTAGTTTTCCTGCTTAATTAGTAAAGGGGATGACCTGGTGCCAACAATTCTATGGGTGTGATGCTTGCTGCAGTATGTTACCCCTAACTAACAATGGGCATTTAAGAGTGTTACACTCTATGGATTTTTAAGTTTTGTTTGTAGATTACCATGGAAGGATAGAAATCATCATCCAGCTGGCAAGATGTGGGATTCCCTCATATAAACTGAGTTTGTTATTACAGAAGCTGTCAAACCTCTCCCATCCCACAGGCAGATACTACATTATTGATGGCTGATCAGATGCTATAGGAGGGACTCAGGTTCCAGATACTTTCTATTCATCAATCTATTAGTACTTTGTTTTCCTCAGCTCAACAATTGGACCTCGCTGATTTGATTCCTCTATTATGGCTAATTAATAAACCCTTATAAAGCATTTCAGATTCTGCTCATGTTGTAGGATTATTTGCAGCAATAGACACGGCTTTAACTTTATCTTCACTCCCTGCTATGCTCCCATTACAAGGGAACTATGACACCTGTTTAAAAGCTTTCCGCGTCCTTTGTTACTCATGCTCATGCTCACTGTAACCTCCCTGGTTTTACTGCAGAAGGGAGTAAGCAAGCTGGTACATTAACCTGCATTACTGTTAATTCTCTCCAACAGGAACAGGAATACCTACCCACTAATGCTCATAGACTTCATGTGTCACATCCTCTTTAAAGAAACATGACAGTTGTGCAGGAATATCCAATTTGTGCTTCCTTACTCTGTCATAGTCATATAGTTGGCATTAATTCCAGAGGTAAGAATATTAATGAATTATGGCAGGTGTATGTCATTCTCTTTGCTCTTGTGCTAC